CCCAGATCCAGGCCGCGTAGCGGAGGCATATGCTGAGCGTGCAGTCGAATATGGGATCGTAGTAGGGGTCGCGGTGAGCGAGGAGATACGCTGTGACTCCACCATGCTTTTTACCCCCGGCGAGGGTCGAGGCCAACTGTCTGAAATATCGAAGAGAAACGTCAGAAACTCCAGAGACACCGCCACCATGCCCAGCAGCTGGTAGCGCTCCCGTTCTGAACAAGAGCGAAGCCTTGCGCCCGACGGCGCTGCGCAGCGCCATATACTTGCGACGGCGCTGCTTCAGAGACTTGAGGCGTGCCTTCTCCTGGGGCCTCAACACTTTGCCACCAGCTAACTCATGCCCCAGGTTGCGCATCCATGGCCGAAACTGCAGTTTGAGCTGCGCCGCTCCGTGCCGAAACAACCTCTTGGACCTTCCCGAGGCCGCCACGATACCAGACTTCTTGGGCTGGGTGTTCAGCCCTAATACCTGGGCGTCGTACCTGAAGATCCGTACAGCCTTCTCTAGCTGCGGCAAGGTGTCAGGCGTCGTGGCGACCAGCTGCAGCGACACGTCATCTACTAACGCACGCGGCGTCACACACGGGGCAATCTGGTTGAGGCGCTTGAGCGCCCGAAAAGTCAGCACGAACAACATACCTGTAGCATGGCTGCATCCAGCTAGGATGCCTTGGAAAACCTCGAGGGACTCGGAAAGGCTTCCGAATGCCTTCAGACGCCGTGGCTGCCTGTACAATTCCACCAGCATCCACACGAGGCGTGGCGGAAAGCTGACAGCCTCTGCCTCCTTGATGAGTTGGGCAGGGTGAACCATTTCGAAGCACTTGATCATATCAAGCAACACTGAAATAGAGATTTCGCCGAGCAGGGACGCTAGCTCTGCGGACAGGTTGTGCGCGAAAGCGCTGTCCGTGGAGCTATGCCGCTTCCTGGTGCCCCAGATCTCGAGACAACCATGCAACTCTTGCCAGCTACAAGTAACAGGCTTCCTGAGTTTGCCCCAGACTCGGCAGAGAGTGTTAATTAGGGCTATCAAGCGGACTCCCCCGTCAGGCTTGGCCAAACGCACCATTTCCGTCCAAACTCGATCGTTGGGCCAAGCGAGCTGGGCCTCACATCCGTTGAACAAAAACGCTATGCCTTCGTAGGCTCCTTGGCTGAGGTGGAGCAGAGCCCTGGGCGCAATCCGCGAAGGGCCTGCCGCCGTGTTGATTTTAAAATGCTGGATGCAATCCTCAACCTCTAAGGCAGTGATGCAAGGGAGCGAGGGCCAGGCGTGGGCCCCATCGGGGAGCGGAAGCTTGGAGCAGTCGTGGGTCATCCAGATGTCAGCCCATGGCTGCATCTCTTGATCAGCGAGCTGGAAGGGTTGGGACTTGGAACCAGCAGCAACGACCTCCTGGACCGCTCGCACCTTGCTGAACCTGTGGGCCTGAGACGCTCCTCTCTGAAAAGCTTCTCGGGCCCAGGTCAGCCAAGCTGAGCTCGCGGCGGCTTCGGCAGCCCCGATCTTGGCCTTGGCGGTGAGATACACATGCGTAAGGCATTCGGCAAAGTCAGCTCTGGCCAGGACGGCAAACCCTGACCGAAAGAACCCAGACGTGCGATCGTCGAGCCTAGCGAGCACCTTTTTACACGCTCCAACTTTGATCATGAAATTGGAAGCATCGGCCAGCGCACGCAGAAGCTTAACGTGCTGGTTGGGAGTAAGCTCGCACATGGCTGCACACTCCTGGAGGCCTGCAACCTCCTTGGTGAGAAACTGCCTACATTTGCCGAGGTGCTTCGCCCAGCGCAAAGCCGTGGCCCAAGCCTTGGTGTTGGGGTCCTTATAGGTGCGAGTCTTGGGGGGGGGCCCACGCAAGCTTCTTCCACTTAGTCCTGGGCGGGCCCGCTCTCCCCAAGAAGCCAGACGCACAAGCACCGATGCGGTCCCACCTAGAGGACAGCTCGAACTCAATCCCCGAGATGACCAGGTCCCAGAGCCCCGCGAGGTCCCCTTGGGCCAGAAGCTTGGGGCCCGCAACATCGAGCACGGCCTTCCAAGGGTACACGGGGGGCCTCGCGCACCCTATGGGGGGCACCGCAGGGAACGGCTTGGGCTCGTCGGGGACCCTGGCCCACATCGGGGTATCAGACGAGGCGAAGCCTATGGAGACGGGAAGGTGAGGATAAGTGGAGGCCTCCTCATCAACATTAACCTGCTTGTGTAAACGAGTCGCTAGCATGCTGCTAGCTACGAAAAAATCAATAAACGAGCCAGGCAGTGAGCGCCTGCAGCTGGGCACGGCAGAAACATACGCGAGGGCACTCACTGCCTCCAGCCAGCCCGACTGGTTGAGCTCGTCGATCTCCATGTTCCAGTCTGCGCAGATGACCCAGGGCACCTGGAGCGCATTCAGCACACACACGTACTGCACGAGGGCCCAAACGTACGAGCAATTGGCCGCTCCGAAACCCTCGCCGTCCTTGAGGTACGCCGAGATGACCACAACTCCACCCGGCAGTCCCCATCGCACGTGGCAAGCCACTGCGCGTCCTGGAATCAAGACATGGCTGTCTAACTGCGGCGGCGCCGTAGCCGTGATGTACGATGGAACCAACACTGCCACGCCACCAGAAGTACCAGCGCCGCTGTCACTGCTGATGGCAGGTGCCCACAGGCCCTTCCAGCCCGCGTCGAGCATGGCGTGCTGCTTGTCGGCCAAGTGCTCTTGGTCCACATGCGTCTCCTGGACAGCCAGGACCGAGCAATCAGCCTGCACCGCGTAGTCGACGATGGGCCCGAAAGAGC